ACAGACATCAAGTTGGCAGTTTTAAAAACACAACCATACATACTATGAACTAAAAGATCACTTTGATACAAGTATCAAACAAATGAAAGATGTCATCAGCACACCACTTCACTTGCATGAAGACGATCTCATGGCCCTTTGCATCATCACCTAAAAGATAACGCGAATACCAATGTCAAACAAATAAAAGATGTCATCAACACACCACTTAACTAGCATGCAGTCAATCTCATGGCCCTTTGCAGCACTACCTAACAAGTGAATGGATGGGGTGACCCTCTTCTCAAAATAAGCTTTGTTTCCCTCAATCTGCAGCATAAAACACAAAACAAATCACATGTTTCGTGCATGAAAAAAATAAAATCACATATATGATGCCGAAGATAAAATGAGCTGATTCGTCAAATCATATACCGTCTTAACAGCAGTCTTATAAAAATAAGACTCCACACCGTATCTGTCAGCCAACGCTTGTTTCAGGCCCTGCATATTTTAAAAATAACGTTATTCAAAGATTTCTTGACTAGTTCCAGTTGAAAAATTATTAACAAAATGATATATACTCGTACGTTAAGATTAGCAGGGCAGGTAATTACTGAATGAGACAACAAAATGATATATACTCTTACATTAAGATTAGCTGGGTAATGAATATCAGTAATCATATCAGTATGGATCCAATCACGCTCTTTGGCAGCCAGCCAAAGTCTACAAGATTTGTCTCTTGTCTCAGTCAATATACGATCGAACTCTTTATCATTCCAGTACCCGAACAGGATGCACAACGTTCCCCTTCAAACAGTCCATAAAATTAGATACTTAAATTAAATACTTGGGCTCTGTGCTCTACGCCGAACATTGAATGCACAAACTAGGCATCTTACCTTATAACATCAAGGGGTTCCGTCCATCCTAAAAATGGCTCGAAAGATGGATCCTGGTTAACATCAAGCATTCGATCTTGGGCGTCTTTTGTTCTACAATATTCTTCTAAAGGCACAACCAAATAGTGACGACTCTGTCCAACACAAAATGGAAAAACAAAAAAAGAAAGATATAATGACTGCTCCTTCTGGAAAGAGGTAGTTTTTTGGTCACTAAATGACACTAGAATATACCTCCAGCATAGACTCATCAACCGCCTCTAAGAAACTCGGTCGGCTGAAAAGTTCTTTTACTTTTGCTTCAAAAGCCTGCACGTCCACATCACCATTTAAAACACCATTGAGACGTTCTCGGATCTCCAACACCATCTCCTTAAGCTCTGGGAGACTTTTGAATACTTTAGCAGACAATACATCCATGCCGGGTGTCTAACGAAAAATACGTAGGACGATTTTAGTAACAAGAAACCCCTCATATCTAGTAGTATCTTGGAAGATAAACATACATATAAAAGATTTTACTTTTAATGGAGATAAATTACAACACACCTTCTCTACTCTATTTGTTTAAAAACAAATAAACAGAAAAATAGAGAAATTGTACCTCATAAAATACATCAAATGCATGGGGGTTCGGAGGTTGGAAGTAGAAGGGGACGACGTCAAGGGGTTCCGGCGCAAAATCCTCCTCACCCTCATCCTTTCTCTTATTAGTAACCTGCAAAATCCATTTATTTTACAAAATCTTGGCTAAATCAAAAGCCACAAACAACATTATACATACACACACGTATACGTACACATCACAATCATTATACATACACAAACACACACACACACACACATACATCAACAACCATTTTCAACCCAATTTTTACATGCGAATTTAACAATTGCAGTAGAGTTACCTCAGAGGAATCCGAATCAACTGAGGAGGAATCTGAGAAATCGGTCGTCGTCGGATCCTCTGCTGCCATAGAATCCTAAAAATCCATTCATTTTCAAAAAGAACAAACCTCTCTAATCAACAGAAAAACACACTTACGCAGGTATAACTGAACAATTACACTAAAGTTCCCTCAGCTCAGAGGAATCTAATCTGAATAGATGGGGAAATCATAAAAAATGTTCATTTTGAAAGAAAAAAAAAAAACAAAATTGCTCATCAAAATCTACAAGCCAGATAAATACACACACACACACACACACACACACACACACATATATATATATATCATCATCATCAACCATTCTAAAGCCAATTTACATGAGAATTCAGAATAGAATCATTACAATAAAGTTACCTCAAGAGGAATTCGAATTGAATGAGGAAACAGAAAAATCGTTCATTTTGAAGGGGGAAAAAAAATCTCTAATCAAAAGCTACAAGACAGATAAATACACAGACATACATGAGAATTGAACAATTGTAGCAGTATTACCTCAGCGGAAGCCAAATCAACTGAGGAACTCAAGAAATCGCCGCCGGATCCTTTGCGGTATTTTCAAAAGGAAGAACCTTATAATCAAGGTAGTTTCGCCGTATGTGAGTGCACACTTAACAGGCTTATTTTGGCCCAACCTAAAAAGTAGGCCCAACACATGCAGCCCAAAAGTTCCCAACCAAAACGACGTCGTTAGACGTATAGCCTCCCCAACCAAGTACTATAACCCATAGTTTTTTGACCCGGACCGAACCGGCGGGTCGACCCAGAGCTGGAACTGATCCTGGTGGTCTATTTGGACCAGGGCAACAGAGGACCCGGTCAAACTCGGTCAAAACCCGGCCAACCCGGGCACCCGACTGGGTTGGCCCGGCCCATATATAATTTTTTAATTTTTTTAGTTTACTAGTACATTGACCGTGTATTAGACAAGTGTTTGCTAAAATTTTTTCTTAAATTTTAAAATTAATGAGAAAAAATAGTTGAAATAAATACTTCCTATAAATATATATGTATATATATATTTTAGTATGACATTTGTTACTTGTGCGACTTACATGTGGTATATTATAATTTTTTTTTAAAACTTATAACAATATAACTACATTAAACATTAATATATTAATTGAGAAATAATTTTATTTTTTAATTAATTTTAATAAATATTTTTTATTATTGTAAATCTAAATATAATTGATTTATTTTATATATACAATATGAATGTTAAATCGAAGTTCATCAAAAGATGATTAATTTGATACATTATTATATATGTAACACCGATAAGAAATACAAAAATTATCAACTTTTAAAATACATTTACAATTCAATAGTTATAGTAGAAAATGATATTAAAATACAATTAATACTTCTAAAATGATCATAAATAAATCAACATATTTATGGTAATTCGAACCTAATTAGTTTTGGATTGAAAATAAATTAAAATCTATCAAAGCCAAATAACGAAGCATGTAATTTTGACACCTAGGATTCCGAAGCATGCGAGTCTGCCACTTAGGCTCACATTCGAGAATTATATATAGGGAGGATTTTTTTTTTAAAAAAAAAAATAAAACTATATA